AAATTAGAAGTACAGTGTGCAATTACTGCAAAACTGTTACAAAAATAAAAAATAATGACAATACCAAATGCTAGAAAGGATGAAGAGAAACTGGATTTCTTATATATTTACTTACTGATAGAAATATAAGATGGTATATGTTATGGCTTGTGTCTAGATGTCCCCACAAAGCCTCATGCAGTCATATAGGGGTTTTTCAGGGGCAGCTGGATCTAGAGTGAGTGACACTGGATCTGATTCATGGTGCAATGCTAGGATCAAGGGCACTAGGACTAAGAGTGTGAGTGCTGCCCACCCTAAGTAGCCGGGATAAAATATAAGGAGTAAAAAGAGCTGTGGCTGTCCCTTGCTTTCTTGCTTTTGCTTTCTTTTGCCTGCCATGAACTATTTTCTGTGATGCCCCTCTGTCAAGACACTCTGCCTGGGAGCCAGCCAATTATGGACTGAAACCTTTACAAACTGTGAGCTAAATAAACCTTTCCATCTTTAACTTTGAGTATCAGGTATTTGTCTAAGCAATGAGAGGAAATTAACTAAGACAGTATAGCAGCTCTGGAAAGTAGTTTGACAATTTACTTTAAAAAATAAACATATATTTATGATATAACCTAGCAATCACATTCCTGGAAATATATCTCAGAGAAATGAAAATTTATGGCCACACAAAATCTTATACAATGAAATAGGTGAAATATCCCTCACTAGGTGAATGATTAACTGAATTATGGAATATTCTTAACACAACACTACTCAGGAAGAAAAATCAAGTATTGTTATATAAGACAATTTAGACTGAGCCTTCAGGGTGAAAAAAAGCCAACCTCAAAGCATCACATGCAATACGTTTCCATTTGTGCAATGTTCCTAAAGAGGTAGAGCTATAGACGTGGAGAACAGCTTTGATTTCCCAGAAGTTAGGAATAGCAGAGGAGAAATGGCCATCCTATAAGGGCTATGATGGAGTAAGGTGAGGGAAACATGAGAATGGAATAGTTCTGATTATTCATGACAGTGGTAGTGGCACACTCACACTTATAATAAACTCATGAAAATATCCCTACACATTTTACTACTGTAAATTTCCTGGTCTCATTATTACAGGACAGTTAAAAATGTTGTTTGGAGAAAACTGAGTTATGGGTGCACGGGCTATGTTAGATTTCCATCACTATGGCAAAAGCACCTGAGACAAACAATTTAAAGGAAGGAACATTTATTTTGGTTCATAGTTTCAGAGGTTTCAGTCCAAGGTTGCTGGCTCTATTGTTTCTGGGTCTGTGGTGAAGCAGGGCACCACATTAGGTAGGTTGTGGTGGAGCAGAGAGGCTCACCTCATGGTGGCTGGGGAACATGGAAAGAGTAAGAGACTTGAGTCCTAATACAACTCCCAAGGGCATTCTTAGCATCTTTAACTTCCTGCAGCTTGAGTTCCACTCTCACAGGTTCATGCATTGCCCACTTAGAGAATGTTGGCAGAGACTCTGATCCTGGCAAACACTCAGAGCCTTCAAGGCTTTCCTCTGGAATCCTGGTGCAAGCATTTATGACCCCCACCACCATGACCCTCTCTGCATTTTACATCCCTACAAAACCAGCACCACATGGATGCTATTAAGATCTGTTGCCCAAAGATCTTTTGTACCAGGGTTGGCACAGTGTTAAGGGCTTGCATAGCTGAGCATGGTGAAATAAATGCTTAGGAAATGATTCTTTAGGCAGCTCGGTGAAGCAGGGCACCCCAGGGCTCTTTATGTAAACCAAAATCTTTCAAGCTTATTTATATTTATACCCTTGAGTTTCCAAAGAGTGTGCTTTTCAGATTCCTGAGGTACCCTGAAGGCATCTTTTTTACCATCTTAGTGTAAAGTACTTGGATTCTTTTTAATGGCATTAATCTCTTTATCAGTCATGTCCTCTTAGGTCACACCTTTATCAATATTACTTTTCTGGCCAAACTCAAATTTTTCAAAACTTTCCACTTGGCCTTTTGTTTCCTATTCTCACTATAAACCTGGCTAAAAGCAACCAGCAATACCCATACTATATTCTGATGTGCTGTGCTACCTTAAATTTCCTCTGCCATATTAATTAGTCCATCACATTTATACTCAACTTCACACAAAGTCTTAGGACATGGACAAAATGTAGACAAATTCTTTGCAAGAAGGTAACACAAATGGCCTCTAGTTCAATTCCCAATAGAATTCTCCTTCCCATGTGAAGCCTCATTAGTGCAATATTTATTGTCCAAATTCCTATTGGCATTCTAATCTTTTGAGCTCATGCCAGAATAGCCCATGAAGCTTAGTTCACAGCATTCTAAAGTCTTCCCAGCCAGCTCCTCCAAACTGACTTCCACAAACCAGTTCCAAAAGCATTTGAACCAGAGTCTGATATATTCATCATTATTAACAAGCCCCAATTGGCTCAGCATTATTAATAGCTCCCATTCATCCCTATCTCAGGAAATTACTCCAAAAATTAACCACCTTTTCTTACATGACTTTTGGTTTTGAAGACCAGTGAACAAATTTGGGGCTTCAAATATGACTTTGAGTTTCTTGGTATCAAAAGAAACAAAAATATGATCACTCACAATGTGTATAAGTTAAAAGGGTTCATTAGCTCATAAAGTTTCATAGACAGTGAGTTTATGTGATGTCTTTAAGGAAAAGAAACCCTGTGATGGAGAAAAATATATTCATCACAAATAATTCTCAAACACGGGCACCTACTTCTCTGGGATATTTAACAGAGGCTTTCAAATTACATCCCTACTTATTTTGCATCAGCCTCCTGAGGTATGTGGCCTTCTGTTGAGAATTCTGCCATAGTGCACTGTTGCTTATGAGACTAGGGTGGGGAGACTACTCTAGGTTGGGTAGCCTATATACAATATAAGGGACACAAAGAGTCTTCTCTCACTCTCCTCCCTTGGCTAATTTTGCTGTCTCCTGCTTCCATGAACAGGTATCTCTCTGCCATGTGCCACCCTGCCTTGGAGCCAGCCAATTATGGACTGAAACCTCCACAAACTTTGAGCTGAATAAACCCTTTCTCCTTTAACTTTGAGTGTTGGGTATTTTGTCTTAGCAACAAGAAAAATGTAACAATTAAGACAACATCATGTGCAAAGGTTAGATAAGACAGAAAATGAGCTGTATATTATATTAGGGAAAATGGGTGAGAATTAGGTATTACTGCATGCCTGACATTGTGTTAACTTTACACTTATTATTTGCTGTAATAAAAGTTAACATTTTGTAAAGTAAAAGTAACACTCATTTCACAGCTCAGGAGATGAGCTCACAGAGATTAAATAACTTGCTCGAGGTAACACAACTACTATTGTAGAATTTGAGAGATGATAAGAGATCAAATGGAAAACAGGAGGATTTATTTTTTGGCATACTCCAGCTCAGCTGATAAATCTAAAATGGCTGAGCAAAGGACAAAGGAGAGGTCCCAGTTTTTATACATTTGGTCAAGGGGATTGGTCTTCACCATGGAACTTGTGGGTGGGCAGAAGGAGAACAAAGGAAGTTTGTCAAACTGTGAGAGTTTTGTATCTTGATGGCCCTTCTTGGAAATAACAGGATGTTATGGGAATGGAGGTTATAAAATTTCACTTGCAGGGACAAAAGTTACTGCTTCACTGTGAAGTTCTACAATAGAAGGGAATTCATGTGTGTTCTGCATCTAATCCAGTTTACTTCCATCTTGAATTCTATGTAAACAGTGCCCCTGGAGCACAAATAAGGATGAAAATAAAAAGAACTTTGATTGAAATACACTCGCAAGGAGCTTATGGACTAAGCATGGGATGGAGACAAGATTAAAAACAATACAAAATGCCCAGAGGTTGAAGGAATTCATTTTACTGGACTTGGGGCTTAGTTTTTAGGAAGTTACAGAAACATCAGCATTTGAGCTGAATTGAAAAGGATGGATAAGACTGACAGATATTCCTCCATGGGAGGACATTCCTGGAGAATATTATGTCCTCTGTGAGGCCTTTTCAGGGGCCTGAAGTTACAATTTATCTGGAAAAGATTTTATTTAAATCATGGAAGGCGTTAACTGTAAGGGTCGGAAAGGAAGTTTGAAGTTCAAGCACATACTGCTATGGATTTCTCTACAATTCTACATCTTCCCTCATCTTCTTAGCACAAAAAAAGGATCCAGGAATGCTTAGCAGAGGGATACTTATATGTAAAATTCCATAAACTGCTCCAGTAATTTAAGACCTCAAAAAATGAAAGGGGAATTATGAAGGAGTGGACTGTAGAACTGGGTTTTTGGATCTAACACTCCTATTTCCTTCTTCCTTCTCACCTACACATAATCTCACCTACACAAAATCAGTTCCTTCCTTCCTAGTGACTTGGTAGTGCCATTTGATGGAAAATAAAGGAGTTTTTTCTTTTTTGCAAACCCAGTAATCCAAAATAGTGAGAATGAGGACTTATTTTGCTTACAGTAAGACTTCTCTCATATTCCTTCTGTCATAGATTCATGGTCTGGACTTGGAAGCAGAAATTTGTGATGATGCCACACAGAGATTATGGATGAGAAACAAGGGTGATCACAACTACTGGTAGGCCTAGAGGTTTGGGAGAAGGAAATATAAGCCCACTTTTGGGCTTACTGTTCTGTTTTTTACCCCTGAGTTTTCTTGAAGGTTTGGGTTAGAGATAAACTCTCAATGAGTTTGTCAACAAACGTACATAGGTACATCAACACTTTACCCAACAAGATAAATGCACACAAAAAAGGGAAATCTCTTCGGAAGATATTTAAACTCTGCCCAGGAATGCCTGTAGCTCTAATTGCTGTTTCAGAAGACATTTAAACTGTCCTAATTTTTGAACTGTGCTCCCACCCTGGTATAGGGATTATGAAGTTTTGTTACCACCTCACACATCCCTACCCACTATGACATACTGCCCACCCAGCCAGATATAAGAGGTTGCACTGCAAGTGAAGTAATCAGTCAGTAAGGCAGCGCCTTTCTGAAACTTCTGACTTTAAATTGGGAATCTCTGTTGGGAGCAACAGAAATCTCAGTTGAGAAAATCCAGGTGAGTTCAGAGGATACCATATGGATCCCTCGGCTGTAACAAGAAGGGAAAGAAAATACAGGCAATGTGATGGAAGGAGGAGGTGGGAGAAGGAATTGAAAAGGAATGAAAGTGAGAAGGTTTCAATGCTCAGACAGAAGGAGAGAAGATGGAATGTGAAAAGAGAAAAAAGTTGTGTACTTTTTTTAGATTGAGTTTTGTTCTGAACTTTAGAGTTGGTGCAATGGTTAGCAGATGCCATCCTTGAGAACTTAATGTCTGTGGTTTCCTTTCAGTAGTAACATTCTGTTTGTTGCTCATGCTGCAGTTTCAGGACTAAGTCAGCCTGTTATATCCAGAGTTTAATGGAAAGCTGGAGGGTAACATACTAATAGAAATCTGACCGACACTTTCCATACCTCTTACTCTCCTGTTTTTTTTTTTTTTTTTTCTATGTTTCCTTGATGGTTTGGGTTAGGAATAAACTCTTAGTAAGTTTGTCAAAAATTATACATGAGTACTTTAGTACTTTATTGAAGGTCAAACACACAAGAAAGGGAACATGCAGCCAAAGAGTAAAAATTTTTGAAAAAAAAATACCATCCTTTGATGGGATTCATTTATGAGATGTTAAATTAAACTAGTATCTACTTTAGTGCTATTTAGGTTTTGTAAAATATTGTAAAATTAATCCTGGAAAGTGAGAATGTTGAAGGCTTTGGTTTCTTGCTGTCTCTACCTTCAGTAAGTAGAGTCTAATGGCCTGTCCGTTCCTAGACAAATCACTATGCTAGATGATATGGCCTTTGCTTCTGTGACGAATGTTTGTATTAATATTTTAGGAAACTTACGATGGAAGAAGTTGAACAAAATCCACTGGGGGATACGTAAGTAAGGAGGACAATAAGGGAGTTCAGGAAAGGAGCTAAAATGTTAAGGGCAGTCTCCAGAATCCAATCAAGAGGGAGACCTCAGCTGTTTAGGACACCGTCCCCTCTAGCTCGGGAAAGTTTCCTAGGAAGAAACAACTTTGGCTTCAATTCTGCAATGGGGTTTTCAGGGACAGTCAGTGCCTCACACAGCAAACTGGTTTTTGTGAGGAAAAGATCCATTCCCCCTGTGCCTTCTAATCCCCCTGCCTGAGTTAGAAGAAATTCTTTTCCCTCTTTAAATATTTTATAGGTATTTCTTAGATTCCACATACTCCATACAAAATTTTTAAAAATAAGAATATAATTATTCAAGTGAAAATATTTTTGCTTCATATAAGATTTGTGCTTGAGGGGGTTGCACTTGAAATATTCATAATTATAGTGTGAGGGCTAGAGGGTGCCGCTAGCATGCATGTGGTCTTGGGTTCACTCTCTAGCATCACAAAAGTAAAACATTTCAAAAATGTGATTGAATCTAGGAATTTACCTTACACAAAAACCCTCTAGACATAAATTTACTATGAAAAATAAAGTGGATCTGGTTAGGCTTGTTTATAATAGGAGAAGAGTTGAAGAAATAGAAATCTTAGGAATCTTATGTTTTTCTGTCCTGGTTTTAGTAATGCTGATTTTTCCTATAGGTTAATGATGGAAATAGCAAATTTAGAAGCCACAAAACAGAACCTTGACCGCCTGAACTCAGACCTTGAAAAGGATCTGCAGACACTGGATGAGGCAAATGAGGCTCTTCTCAGAAAAATTCAAGAGAAAGAAAAAGTCATCCAAAGGTCAGCCTTTGAAGCTGGTGTAGGAGGGGTTTTTCCTTACTTGGAGGTCCTTACCTTAGTCTCCTTACCTTGGAATAGAAAAAAAGGTGGGAGGAAGGTCTCTTTCCTCGATGGCAAATCTCAGCCTGTCGTATAGGTGCTGAAACATAAACAGAGTTTTGCTTTAAATTTCCATAGAAGACTGATTTTACTCAATAAGCATTAAGCAATTACTCTAATCCTTAAAACTTTGGCAGTAGCTTCTGAAGTGAGGGCCCTGGCAGCTTCCTTAGGGCTAAGCCACACCTGAGTGACTCTATTTTTCAGTCTGGAAAGAGATCTCACCCTATCATCAGAAAGAGATGAAGAGAAGGAGGAGTTGAACCAGATCATATCTGAGAGGGAGGAAGCCCTGAATGACCTGGAAGTAGAGACGGCAAAGCTGGTAAGGAAACATCTAAAAAGGATTGTCCACCTGTAGAAATCAGAGCCGTTTGAGAGAGTTCTCTGAGAATGAAGTGCTCCACATGGGGCTGAGGCCTGGATCTGTCTCCAGCTCTCCATGTGGGGTCTGAGTGCACTTTTCATGCCTGATTCCCTTGTCCTCAGATATTATTTCAGCAGGCTAGTGAGGGCAGGTATGAGAGCAAAAGTCCTCTTTCCCACAGGAAGAAAAGAATGCAATCCTAAACAAGAATGTGGGGGAGCTTCAGGAGAAGGTAAGAGGAGCCCAGGTCTGAGGATCCTAGGATCCCGAGGTCATTTTCTTCACAACAGAAAGTATAGTGGGGTGGACTGGGAGCATGTGAGAGGGTCCTGTGCGCACTTAGAACGAGGAAATGCAGCACGTACAATAACGAAGAGCTTCTTTTCACACCCCAAAGTCTACCTTGAAATGACGGTCATCTCTTAGGATTCCCAATATGTTCCAGTCAGAAAGAGGAAAAGGGGTCAAATGAGAAAACTAGGTGTGCTCTGTCCCCTCTCACCTTCTGATACAACCTTCGAACAAACAGTGACTAGTATGAGCATTTACCCTCTGAGAACTGTAGGTTGTGGTGACAGGGCTAACAGATGTAGAGAGAAAGATTTGTCCCTTCTTCCCCAGCTGCTCTGCTCCATTCTGTTCCCCCTCTCATCATTGCCCTCTCCATCTGCTTTGGCTCCCAAGAGCTATGGAAACAGGGATGTCCTGCCACAGTGGGGCCAGGCAGCTTCCATAGTGTTGCGGAAATGCTTTTCCATCAAGCTTGTGTCAGGACTTGAATTAATAACTTCCCTTTTGTAACCTAAGCCCGAGTCTGACACTGTCCTGGGCTTTCATATGCATTGTGTGTAGCTTACAAAGTCCATGGTTTGGGGGATGATTTTTCAGATTTCAAGGGGATTTAAGAATGCTGGTCCTACTAAAGAAATCCTGAAGCAGAATTTGGCAGAACTGAAGGTGAGTAGAACAGCAAACCCAGAGATTTTCTGGGAGATGCAAGTATTCTAGATGGCTGAGAAGAACTGTTTTCAAGGCCTCTCCTAGGCATGGTGCTGAGCATGTGTGTGTGATTATCAGAGGTAAACTGATGCCCTTTGTTCCCTCCACCTAATCTGAGGACACCTGGGACCTTTATGATATCACCAGGAGCAGAGACGAGTGCAGTGCTATCAAGTGGAGAGAGTTGCTCGAGAGGCCTTGCCATCTGTAGTTAATAAAACATATTCTTGAGTGCTCACTGGGGTCTTCTCTCAAGAAGTTTATAACAGAAATGAGGACACATAAATATAGACATTCAAGTAGAGAAAAAATACCTCCAAATTATATGTGTCCATGAGCTCAACTGATTTTCCATGCTTTGGCTCACAGGCCAAGTTAAGTTGTATTTTTAAAATTTATTATTATTTTTACCACAAAGCAAATCAATTAAGAACATGAATTTTTGACCCAGTATCTTAAAATGGCACATAGTAGAGGCCTAGTGACGACTGTGGAATGAATGAATTGGATTCCCAATAGGGGGCAAGAACTCTTACTGGAAAGCTCTTGGCAGTTTTTTGTGGCAAATATGGTAATTTGGCCATTGTTGCCACATGAGTCCCACTGTCATATGTTTTTCTCTAGAAAAGGAGCAGCAATGCTTCTGATTTGTTCTTATGTGATTCAGAGGGCATGTGTACCCCACAACATTTGAATCAGAATAGTAATCCAGGGAGCTCTTGTCATTCATCCTCAGTATGGGAGGAGGGAGGGTGGTGAGCCTGCCAGGGGAACAATCCTACTCAGATTTAAATGTCAGCTGTACCACCATGTGATTTAACCAAGTTATGCAACTTCTCTGTGCCTTTGTTTCCTCAGCGGAAAAATGGGGGTGATAATCATGCCCATACTATATTATGCTACATTCTCAACACATAAGAGCCTATATTACCAGGCTCTCTGTTGGCCTGGAGGGTAATTGTATCACATTTGCCTCACACAGAAAAATGTTATTAACTTCCTGTTTCCTTCATTGTCTTCCCTAGGTGAAGCTGCAACAGTCAACAGAGTCCTGTGCACAGCAAGAGGAGGAAATAGCCAAGGTAGAGCAGTGTCTCCTCCACTAAGCTTCTCCTGGGGTATAAAAAGAAGGGAATCTCAAAACCAAGGGCTAGCCCAGGAGGTGGGGAGCAAAAACTACTGGCAAATAACTTACTGATAATTCACATGTAGGTGAAGAAAAGTTTATTAAAAGTACTGGTCTTAGGGGCTGGGGATTTAGCTCAGCGGCAAAGTGCCTGCCTGGCAAGTGCAAGGTCGTGAGTTTGGTTCCCGGTACTGGAGAAACACCAAAAAAAAAAAAAAAAAAAGTACTGGTCTTACCATCTCTGTTACAGTTCTCTAACTTCACAAGGCATTGTTGAACCCAAACTTCATTGCCTCATAACATCCCCCAGTACGTGGGGGCATAGACAACCTGGGCAAACCATTTCCTTTGTTCACTTAGATCCTGTAGATGAGTGATGATGTCACCTCTTTGTGAGGTGGTTATTGCTAGGTAACCAGCCAAATGTCCTTTCTGCCAGATAGGTTTCCAAGGAGCAGCCTAGGCTTGGTTCTAATTTAACACATGACATCTGTTAATTTTTTTTTCCTAGGTGAAGAGTGACTACCTATTCATTCAAGAGCGTTGTGAGGACCAAGCTCACTGCATAAAGGTAGACACTTCAGAGTTGAGGCAAAACTTCCCCTTTGCCATGAGGTCCTTGGTTTCTCATCAGCTAGGATTTGCCTCTGGGGAAAATGCCGTTTGTGCAACACTAGCAACAAAAGTAGATGTTACTCTGTGCCAGGAACTGTGCTAAGCACTTGTCATACAGTATTTTTCTCAATCAATCTGGACAGAAATGGTAAGACTAGTACTTTTGGTAACTCAGTGAGGTTACAATCGCTATGACAAAGAGGACACTGTGACTGGGAGCCGGGTAACATGCTCAAGGGAACACAGTATATGTCAGAGCTGGGGGTGTGAACATGAGCAGAATTCAGAGTTTTTGTTGATGTGCATCCATCCTGGTCACTAAACTCTCCTAACTTTTTTATTTGAACATCTTACTTTGTGCATGCTTTGGCGTGCACTGTCTAGAATATTTGGAGTTAGTGGTACATACAGAGTATGTTTTTGTCAATGACATTGAGATAAAATACAAATAGTCTTGTTAATGATGTTTTCTCCACATGGAAAGATGTACCAGGAAGCTCTGAGGCGGCTGGAAAAGGAAAAGGAAGTTCTGATGCTTAACAAAGAGATGTAAGTGGGAAAAGCGACCTCACTAGGGGGCTGAAGTGAAGCCACCACACCGAAAAGAAAAGTCATGGAGAATATGAACTCGTTTCTCCGTGGTTCCCTCTTCCCTTGAATTTCCCCCCTCGGTCATAGTAACTGTGACGGGCTCGAACTTACACCTTGGCCTCCTCAACCAACCTTGTTGCCGGCATTTGCTTTGTGGACTCTCAAGCCCTGCACCGCACCACAAAGTGGCAAATTATCTCTGGGGGAAGGCCTTGAATGAACAAGGAGCTCACCTTTTTGTGCTTTTCTTTGTTCAGGGTTTGTACCTTTTGGCTTCTGACTGTATTCTCCAGTGCATTCAGACAGCTGCTGTGTGTTTTGCCTATTTTTTATAGTTGTTTTTGGAAGTGGGTTAGTATATGACACAAGCTCCTCCTTGTCAGGAATAGCCAGAAGTCTCTGTCACTTCTCCTTTTTCTCCTTCATTTAATGATTACTAAAAGAATTCTCATGAAGACTCTGGCTTAGCTTTTGTTGGATTTAATCATAGCAGAAAACAACACTAAACTATAGACCATAAAATAGAACAAATGAACAATGATCAAAAGATATTGGAGAGTGAATAAAAATAGGAAGAAAGGCAATAGGTTATAGCCCCCATTTTTAAAGCTTCTAACCTGAGGGCAGACCAAGCTTAGTATGTAAGAGGCAGCTAAAGCAAGAATTCTGTCATCTTCCTGGGGAAAAAGAACCCAAAACAGAGGATGTAATTCAGAGCAGCCAAAGATGCTGGAAAGAAAGTAGAGAGCCAGACATGGGGAGTCCCAAACTACGTACCCAAACTCTGCCCACATCTCCGGCTGACCTCCAAACTGGGTGTGCACAGGAACATCTGTGAACAGCCTAGCTGAGAATACATGACCTGAATGACATTTGAGCAGCCACCCAGAAATAGACTGGAGTCTGAATCCAGCATCAGTCTAACATCAGGCTTTGTCTTCATAGATTGTCTTTCACTGGACAATGGATATTTTCCTAGTTCCTATAAATTGTGAATTGTAAATGTTGAGCTTTGTGAATCTTATCAAGAATGTAGGAAATTAACCATGCATGTTGCGTGACTTAGAAAAGCACCATTTATCAGCTCTTCAGATGTTGTTACATAATTCTTAGCTCTGGTCTTTTTCACCCAGAGCCAAAGCCCAGAAGAATTCTTCCCAACTAGTGAAGCCTGGGTCAGTCCTGGTGGAGACCATTCAAAACAATATGGTAAGTCTTACTTGTCCAAAATTTGGGTCTCCTCTATCCCTTCTTCTCTCCTCCTCCTTTTTAATATCCCTAGAATTAGGAAATAATGAGATTCAGTGTCTTCCTGCAATCGTTGCAGCTAAGCAGTGTCTGAGGTAGGATTTAAATCTGGACAGCCTGGCCAGGATGTTAGTAAGATCCTTCAGTCCCTCTACTCGTAGCTACCCTGTTATTCTGCCTCTCTGTGAGCACCTGGACAGCTACAGCTTTGGTTTCTATTCCTTCCCACAGGAGAAGACTATCATTAAGAAACAGAAGAGGGTCTCATTTTTTAGGTAAGCCGCAGAATCTTGGTTTTGTGGTCCAGGCTACATTCACTCTGCACGTGACGTGGTAAGGGCTAAAGGAATAAGCATATCCAGACACAGAGCCAGCAGGTGGCCCTGATTGCACCTTCCTCAACACAGAGTTATAGCACCAGAGTTGCGATGCTCTAAATAGCTGGGGGATTAGTAAATGTCTCTGATAAGTTTCAGATGGAAGCTGCAGTTTGCATTTCACTTTTAATTTTTATTCTTATGATCTTTAGATGGCCTTTTTCCACTTTTCAGTTCCAAACCTAGTAACCTCTGTTATACTTCCCTGGAGAGAGTATAGAGTGCATTAATTTTCAGGGTTTTTTTACTGCAGGCTGAGAAATTATAGAAAGGCACTTGAATTTTCTGTGCCTTTTGTTTTTACAATTTTGAAATGAGACTAACTCTGAAGTGTCTCATGTCATACTTTTAGGCAAAACTTCCATTTATGACATTTCCATAAAAATAAAGACTTAAAGCCTTTAAGTAGTTGTGAGGGTAGATTTGTTTCTTGAACGAACATAAAACACATCACACACACACACACACACACACACACACACACACACACACACACACACACACTTCATTGTAGTCTATTTGAGCACCTGATGTTTAGCAAAGGCCAAGCATTGTCATTTTGATGTTAAAGTAACAGACTTTATATTCTAAACCCACTTACTAGAGAAGATCTGAAGAGGGCTAATGGTGATTAAGCTCCCAGGTGTGACAGTTAGGCACTTTTTCTAATAACCCTCAAAGGTCCAGAAATCTACCATCTTTTGCTCCTCCAGCTCTTCTATGTGGATATCTATTCTGTTGCAGAACAACTTTTTCTGTGTTGACCTTCCCCCGACCTTGACCCCCTGTACCCCATATCTCACTTTTGTCCATCAGTTTTGTCTAAATATGACATGAATATGAGGTTCAGCTCTCACTGCTTGACCATGGGCTGTCCCTTCCCCACGTGCTAATAATGAATGTTTCTTTGTAGATTTTTCCGGTGGCTTTTCTTTATGATCCTGATCTTCATTGAATTGCTGGGTTACCTGTTTTTCCACCTGCAGTACATCAACCCAGACCTTATTGTGGAGACCCTGCCCCTGCTGATGAGTAGGAGCAACCTGAAGAGGCTGAGAGACTTCTTATCTCCTCTCCTCACTTTTGAGGGAGACTGCCTCCTCCCACACTAGCCTGGGGTGACCAGCGTGGGGCTGTGGCTGTGGCCTTGCATAGCAGTGTGGGCCAGGAGGGAAGTAGAAGCCTATGGTGCAAGAGCTGCTACTTCACATCTGATCTTTTCTTTTAATTTTTTTCACCGTTCTCCTTTTGGAGTGTTTCTCTTTCAAATAAACAGTATGTTTGACCAGAGTCTTCTGTGTTGCTCTGTGACTCCTGGGGCATTACTATGCACTCAGGTCCTACTCTATGCTGTTGAGCCAAGATAATAAAAACTCTCCTAGGACTTCCATTCCCTGCTTTATTTTTTCTAAGAAAAAAATCATTTGTTCATTTGTAAGATCTTTCAGTCCCTTTGGGGTGTGCATGAGAGATACTGAATAAGGGAGCTCCTAGGGTGGATACAAAGCTTGTGCTATTCTGATGTTTAGCAGAGTTACCTCCTTGTAGCTTTTTAAATTTTATGTTACATCTTATATAGAAGTAGGATGTGCTGAGAAACCGACTGTTTTCATGCCCCCATGTAGTCACTCATTCTTAAAAGAGAAAATTATTCATTCAACTGTGAATAGAAGACTGTAAAATCAGAAAGTGCTTCAGATTGGAGTGCCTAACCTGTCAGGGAGAAAGCCACACAGCAGGAGGTGAGAAGCAGGAAGTACGCAGGTGAAGCCTCATCTGTCTTCACAGCTGCTCACCACCGCTCTCCTACTGCCCGAGCCCCAATTCCTGTCAAATTAGCAGTGGCAGTAGATTCTTGTAGGAATGCAAACTCTACCAACCAAACACAGAGGGATCTGGGTTTTCTGCTTCTCAAACCACTTCTCACCGGGGCTGGGGATTTAGCTCAGCGGCAAAGCTCCTGCCTGGCAAGCTCAAGGTCGTGAGTTCGGTTCCCGGTACCGGAGAAAAACCAAAAAAAATAAAAAATAAAAACAAAAATTCAACCACTTCTCACTACCCATCACATCCCTGTCTGGAAAAACTGTCTTCTGTGCAACCAGTCCCTGGTGCCAAAAAGGCTGGGGACTGCTTCCTTAGATATAGCCAAACACCATGTTATCATTCAAATTCCAATTCAAATGTCATTCTCATAAGCTCCCCTATTCCATCCTGACCAGATATAGCCTTCTTCTGAATGCCCCTAGTGCCTTCTCTGGACTTTCTATTTGTTGCAACTGACAGAGCCAGCATGGTCCTGAGAGGGTGCAACTGGAGATGAAGAAAAAGCTATAGATACATACTAAAAGGAAAGCTGGGACCAGGTGGAACCTGACCTCTCTAATGGAGAGGCAGCGACAACCCAGCATGGTCTGCCTCTTTATTTATACATGGTAAAAGGGGGAAAGTGCATGATGAAGTCAAAAGTGCAAGATCTCAGTGTTTTGCTGAGAACACTGAAAGTGAAACATTCTGAGAGCTATCTGTGCTGTAGTTCACAGGGAAGAACACTAGGTCTATTACACTCACCTGACATGGCTTCTAGATCATGTACCATTTATCTTTCCCAACTCTACTCCCAATGAGTTGTTTACATGGCTCACCTCTGGAGCTCTGTGTTCTTGGAGCTGGCCTTACTCTAGCCCCAAATGTGTGGTTGATCTCCAACTCAGCCATTCCCCACTCCTATCCTGTCTTCTTCTGCTTTATGGTATCATTGCTATGTGCTTTGACTGTGGGACTAGTCACCTAATTTATATGTCATCTCACATAGTGCCTTAGCATAGAGGCTTTATAAAGTAAGATTTAGTAAAACGGTGAGTGATTCCTTTGATAATTTCTGTGTCTTTTCCAGAGCATCTGGTGGATGATAGTTGAGACCCTTAGCCTAGACCCTGTATTGTGAGAGCTCACACTCTTTCAGGACAGCCGGCAGAGTGTTGGTAGTACCGAATGAAGGGAGATAGATGTGGCACAAAATACAGGGTCATCTGGTCACCTCTGTCTCCATAGTTACAGAGCTAAAGTGGTAGAGGCACCTTCTTGGGCAGTTCCTTCCTTCTAGATCTTCTTCGTGTTTTGCTTTCAAGTGACCTTTTGTAGGGACCATTCTAGATACAGGTTTTAACTGAATTTCCCTTGGATAGCATCAGGAGTAGAAGAGATACTACATGTTTGTTTTTGCTGCAGACGTAGCTTTGTCCCAAATTTTCTTTCTGGGGTCTAAGGAGGAAGAAAATGAGTGATCCAGAACAAAGCTCCCATACAACAAAAATAGAACCAACACTACCCTCTTGTGGCCAAATGAAATCTCTCTGCATTTCAGTAGGTTTCACCAAGGGAGTGGTTAGGATTTGAATTAGGAAAGATGGATTAGGTTTTAGTCCTGGGAAATTCTCTCTACACCTTCTAATAATTCCAATCAGTCTTCATTTGTTTATTCAACAAACATTTATTAAGCATCTTCCTTGGGTTAGACAGTATTCTAGGTACTGGGATTACAGCAATGAATAAAACAGGCAAAACTGTGCCCACATTGTGGTTAGAGGTAAACAATAAATACAATTGAATCTACAAATATCCTGTGCTGTTAAATGGTATCAGATATTGGTATTTGATATCACTAGTAATCGGATCAAAGTCAGGCAGGAAAAGGGAGGGAGCGCTGAGGAGGAGCATCACTGTGCTTGCTGATGAGGTGGCATTATAAAAGAAGACCTGAGAGAGTTGAAGGAGCTGTGTACATGCCAAGGGGAGCCAATGTAGCAGAGGGAGGAGAGGGTAAGCACCTGACCTTGAGGCTGGAAGGTGCCTGGTCCCTTGAATTCCTTTGTGATTTCCTGTTCACATCTCATTAGAAAACATCTCTGTATTGGAATCCTGAGTGGAATTCTGGTTTCAGCCAGCACAGGACTCTGATTGATGCATACTGTTCACTGACCAGAGCATCCCTTATGCAGAAGGTTTCAGTTCAAGTGACTCGAAGGCTACAGGTGAATGTGAAGGGAATGGCTGTCACTGGCCAGCAAATGTATTCACAGAAGACCCCCTGGCCCATCCATCTGCTGTCACATATCCCTCACAAATTCAAGGAACTCCTGCATTCCGCACCACACTCAGTCTTTCCCACAGACACAGCCCTCCGTCTCAGCATTCAAGACTGGCTGGAGATGGAGCTGGGGAAGTATGGATGAGGTGGCCCTCTTTCACAGCGAGCCTTCCAGGAGGAATTTGGAACATTGAAACTGAGGGAAGTCCTTTTTGCTGAATCACAGGGGCCTCTGCTGCCCTCAGACAACCTGCCTACAAGTAGAAAGCTGGCCTCAAAAGGGCCTGGACAGCATTCCTGAGACTTGGAAGCAGAAAAGCAATTACATCACTCAAAATGAACAGCACTGAGGAAAGCTCACCATCCTAAGAATATCCATCTGTTTCTGAAACATTTTAATAAAATAATGCAAAATACTTAGCACAAGAAAGGACAGGTGATAGGCATTCAACCAATGCTAGTTTTCTTTGTCTTATGTTAGATAAGTTTGCTTTCATCTAATCTTAGCTCTATCTTACAGACTGACATAGAAAAATGACTGCCTCCTTCCCAGGTTAGTCACTGAAATTGAACAGCCCTACAAAATGAACATTCCCAAGTCTATTACACTCACCTGACATCACTTCCAGATCATGAATTATTTATCTTTTCCGGACACCAGTGGAGCTGAACATAATACTGCGGATGATGTCTGCCTGGAAAAGAGTCCAAAAGCCTATGCTCTGTTTATTCTGAACCCTTTGCCTTTATTAATGCTGTTACGGTTTCATTAGCCGTTTTGGCTGCTGTTGGGTCACACAAAGATGCAAGCTTGGAGTCCGCCAACTTTACTGAACCTTGGCACAGAAATTATTCTTGATCCACATCTTCTGTTTTGTACTTACAGATTTTTTTTTTCTTTTGGTATTGGGAATCTAACTCAGGACATTATGCTTGCCAGGCAGGCACTTATGCCATATATCCCCATCTCCAGATTTTGTTTTTTAGATGCTAAATGCAGGACTTTTTCAATTGCTCTTAAATTTTATTTTGTTGGTTTCAATGTTTTGTCTTATTCTGTTTCAGATTTAGCAGCTCTTATCCTATAAAGGAAGTAACTATCTCCAGTGGAGTCCAAATCACTTGGTAACTGGGATGCAGAAAGTCTTGCAATAATTAACCTCAGGCAGCTAGTTAACCTTTCCTGGGGGAGTTGGAAATGCTCTTCCCCTGGGAAATGCAACAACAGCTGTGTGTTCTCTCAGTATCCTGAAGAGGAATGTCTTTGTGTCTGGAGCTTGCATACAATTAAATTTGATTAGACATTCTATCCTCTCTTCTACCTTAAAGCTTAATTACCTGCCAACTATTTTAGACTGCACTTTTATCAGTGCTGAAGATCAGTTTCTTTAATAGAGAAGGATAAGTGAAATAGGACTCTTAAGTATCAACACTATACCCTCTGCCCTAGGGAGTGGCCTATCCCTTTCATTTCTCCTTGTTCAAAACACATTGAAAATTGCACTCATAGTCAGGCCTGGGGGTGCACTCCTGTAATCCCATCACTCAGGAGGCTGAGGCAGGAGAACTGCTGTGAATTCGAGGCCAGCCTGTGCTACATAGTGAGCTCAAGACCAGCCTGAACTACATAGGAAGACCCCATGTCCAAGGGGGAAAAAAAAAAAACATACATAGATGATAGATAGATAGATAGATAAAAAACTACCTTCATAATACCCTTTTACAAGCCCTTATATCATTTTGGAATAAAGAACTGAACAAGAGAGTCTACTGTGGACTCCTAGTCTTAGTTCTTTTGTTATTTAATTGACTATAAGCCACATACCCTCTGTGGGCCTATGGATTTCTGCATGATTTCTAAATTTTAATGCTGACATTCTTTGAGTCAGTGAACTAGCACACTCAGGCCTTTGGGTGAGTCAGAAAAAACAAACAGAAATTCTCCAAGCCCACTAGATTTCTGCCTTCCCAGCATTCTCGGCCCTATCCTGGTCTCTCCTTTTTCAGAGGATCATTCTTGAAGCCTCGACCATCTTGTGCAAAACTTTTCCTTCTGACGAGTTTCCTCAGGTGATGTGTCTATAACTCTTATCTTCTTCAGAAGGTCAGTGCTTCTTAAAAATGAATTAAGAAGTTCAGTTTACAGGCTTAATTCAACAAAAATTTATTGAGTGCCTGCTGTGTATCAGACACTGCAG